CAGTGTGTCTCTCTCTGCCTCTTAAATCTCAGAAAGGCCTACCTGGCGCTGGCATGAAAGCCTAGAGGCCTTGGCCTTCCCGCCGTTTCAGAGCTAAAATGGCATTATTTTGGAACTTGGGTATTATTGCGTTGACCACGTCATTCATGGGCAGGCTCTACCTTTTCCGGAAAGTTAGGGAGGCCACAGCCACTTGGATTAAGGGCCCAGACAGCAGATATGACCCAGCATGACAGATGCACAGGATGATTCTCCAGAATTTCATCTGCTGCTTGTGTAATTCAGGACAGCCAGCCCCACTCTGGTCGGTGTGGATTCACCTGGTGCCTACACTGCCGGCAGTGTGTTCGGTGCTGGGGGTGGTGTGGGGCTGGCCAGAGAGCCAGGCGCTCAGGTCTCACCTGAGTCAGGGCACTGGTGCCCAGGGGTCTCTCCACTCAGTGGTCTCAGGGGAGATGCCCCGTTCGGGGTTCATTTGCTGATGGAGGATGACAGGAGTATTTCCAGCTCTTAGAACATCAGAGTGGGCCACGTGGCAATGGTCCCTTGCCCAGAATAAACAAAGTGAGAAGTGAGTAATGTGTTGCTCCCCTGATTTGTTCAGTGTGTGTGCCGGGCGTGCACATGCATGCACATGCGGCTGGTGGCCGGCATAAGTGCACGCCTGAAGTTTAGCATTTATTTTAGTCATTGTAGGCAGCTTGCAGAGTAAATAGGAGGAAAAATCTATATATACTTAGACCCGTAGTCAGGGTGGCAATTAGTAGAATGTCTTGGCAACCCTTAGTGGCATCATAGATCATGCAGGAGGTGACATCATTGGGGGTAGATCACAGGCTGGGGTCTGGAGCCCTGGTGTCTGGCCCGGGCTTTGCCATTCGCCCTGGGACCAGGCTGCTGTGGCCTCTTAGAGGCATCACCGTCTCTGCTTCAAAAAGAGAAGGGCTCACGGAAGACCACCAAATCCCTTTGTAGCACTAATGTTTCATGTCCAAGGACATGCTTTCCAGACCCACCGTGTAGTTTGGCAGCTGCCTCCGGCTCCCCCTTTACTGCACTGGTAGTGCAGGGAATGCTAAAAGGATAGTAAACACTTTTATAGGCCACATTAAAACAGGTATTCATTAATAAAGTTGACTTCGACTCAAAGGCCCAAGTTGCCATAGATTTTTGGGGCCCCAGCTCACCCAGAGAGGCTTTGGATTTCCAAAGGAGAATGAAAAGTTCTGCAGGCTAAACACTCCCATTTCCCAATGCTTTGAAGTAACTGCGTGCTATTCAGTTCAAATTCAAGATAATGAGCTGGGCCTCCATATTTAAATCCTTCCACTGCCATCGTTATGACAAAAGGAAGACACAAAAGTTGGGGTGGGATGGAGTTCTGTCGTGGAAGGAGCCATCCAAAAGCTGGAAACATCAAGTACATTCTAGAGACTGTAGTGCAGGTGGATCTGTATTCTAAGAGGCTGATCTACCTGTAAGTCAGCACATGGAAGGAAGCTTCCTATCTGGAGAGGGAGAAGAGACTCCCCTTCCCTACCATGACCACTTTCCGTTCCCCGCCAGCTGAAACTCCGTGACACTCCGAAGCTCTGGATGAAGAAAGCAGAGGGAAGGGAGGGCCATGCGGCCAGTGATTTGCAACCTCCCTTGGACGTTGGAAACCATGAGAAATTTTAAAAAGCCCTGATGTCCAGGTCCCCCGTCAGAGCTTCTGATTTAATTGGCCTGGGGTTCAGATGGGCTGTGGGCTTCATGATGTGCCGCCATATTGAGAGCCACTGTAACAGGAAGGCTGTGGGGTCTTGAAGGAGGGCCTCCCCATCAGTCAGAGAAATGGGCAGCACGCAGTGAATTTGCTGCCTGGGACAGAGGGGCTTCTCATTTGGTCAAACACAGAAATACCCAAATTTATATTCTCTTCACATGGACATAAAAGATTTGATGAGGAAGGAACACAGTCTCTAGCAGAACTTGCCTCAACTCTCGGTTGAAGTTAGAGAAAGAAGACTGTTTCTTAATAATAGAAAAAGGAAATCAAGAGAAAAAGCGTAAAAGAGGATGGCACAAATGAGATGAGATAGGCAGATATTTCAGTGATGTGCAGGATTAAGCTCTTTTGAAACGGACAGACTGTGAACCTGGCTTGGTCTTGTTCTGGGACACTGCCTCCCTCCCCCGCAGACCTCACTCTGCTCCCGGGACAAAATGCAGCCATAAGGGTTGGCTGTCGATGGTGTGGAGTTCTCCCTGGTCTCCTCCTGGGCGGCCTGCTCTGTCTTCTGGAGGTGGCCTCTGTCCCTGGGGTGGTTACCATGTACGTGGGCTGCGTGGTTTTCCTGACTGGGGGGAGCTTAGCTTCCTTCCAGCTCCTTCTTCACAGGGATAGTCACATCTGCTCTGCGTTCACCAGCAGTCCATGTGCTTGACCCTCTGGCCTCAGCTCCTCCACAGGGAATTGTGAGAACTGCTGAGGCCATGTGTCCCCGTTAGAGGCTGCAGCGACCTGGAATGGGGCCACGGCACCTCCTTCCCAGACACTCTAAGGTTACTGCCATAAACCATTCATGAAAGCCTGCTACGTTCATAGATCCATTTGCCTAGCTAACTGGGGGCAAACTGTTTTAAATCTTCAAGGTTGAATATTTTAGAAAATAGAAAAAAAGGCTGTTTGATAAAACTGACATGCTCTGATACCAAAACCTGACCAGAATATAAAATGGGAGTAATTTCGCTTTCAAATAGAGATGCAAAAATCTCCAATAGTAACAAACTCAGTCTAGCTATGGGATGAAAGTTTAAAACAGGAGTAAGTGGTTTTCAGGGCATGTAGATCATCAATAATTTAAAAATATTCTAAAACTAATCTTAATACTTAAAAAAAATGATCAAGTTAAAATCAAAATGAAATTTTTAAAAAGTAATCTCTATGCCCAGCATGGGGCCTGAACTCAGGACCCTGAGATCAAGAGTCGCGTGCTGTACCGACCGAGCCAGCCAGGTGCCCCCAAAATGAGATTTTTACTGGAGGGAAGGGGAATCTCAATACATTGATACTAAAGTTTGCTGGTTGAATAATTTCATTAGAATAGGAAGTTTTGACAGATTAGAAAGTGATGAGATTACTAGCAGGTGCCTAATGGAACAATGGTGAAAAAATAGAAAATCCTGAAATACATCCAAGTGCACATGATAATTAAATATATGGTAAAGATGAAAGTAATATTTGAAGTCAGTGGAGGAAGAACTGATCATTTAATGAGTTGTGTTGAGATAGCCCTTGAGCATCGTTGAAAGCAAATAACACCTCTATTTGCCAAAATTCAATGGAATTAAGAGTAAAAATTTTCACATGAAAAAATTAAATCATTCCTGGGATTAGTTTAGTTGAATATGTACATACGAACGTGGAGGAGGAACTAGGGATGCACAGGTTGGTGAACTTGACCTGTATGTATGCCGAAAGCAAACAGGCCCCCTTCCCTGCCCCGTCCCCAGGACAGTCTAGAACAAATTGAAGAAAGCATGATATACACTGGGAATAATGCTCATATCAAAGTGACAAAGGGTTAATACTTATAGTATAAAAGGGGGCTCCTAAAACCTTTAAGGCCAAAAAACAATAGACAAACTGACAGTAAAGGTCTTGGAAATCTTGGAAGAATTTATGTTCCATGAATAGCAACTTCCCTTCTGAAGTTTACCCTCAGAAATAATTAATTGTACATGTTTGTAAGTAAACATCTATTAGGATATCTTTCAAAAAGGAGTTATTTAGGAAAGTCAGGAAAGAGCAAAAGAAAAAGAAGGAGAGAGCGAAAGAGGAAGGAAGGACCTTACCTATCCAGCAATAGGAGGCTGGTTAAAGAAATGTTGTTGGGGCGCCTGGGTGGCTCAGTCAGTTGAGTGTCTGACTTCAGCTCAGGTCATTTCACTGTTCGTGAATTCAAGCCCCATGTCGGGCTCTGTGTTGACAGCTCAGAGCCTGGAGCTCACTTTGGATTCTGTATCTCCCTCTCCCTCTCTCTGCTCTTCCTCAGCTCGCACTCTGTCTCTCAAAAATAAATATTAAACAAAATTAGAAAAATAAGAGAGATCCTGTCATACAAATATAATTGACAACTCTCAGCAATTAAAAGTAATCTGGAGAAAGATTCACATTAACATGTATAGGAATGTTCTTTCATGAATATATTTATGCAAATACATACACAAATATATTCATAAAGACATCTGGAAGCGTCTCCACCAAAACGTTAATTTACCATTGGTTATCTCTGGGTTAGTGGGTTACAGCTGACTTTTCTCGATCTTGCAGCCTTTTCTCCCCTCCCCCCTCCCCCCCCTTCCTCTTCCTCCTTCCTTTCTTACCGTTGCCATGGTTTAGTTCAGATATTAAAAAATAACTACTTGAAACCGTTATTCCAAGAACTTCCTCTAATAAGCCCAGCATGTCAGGCTAGTCTGTGAATAGTCTGCCTGTTCTCTCTGGCATCACATCCTGCCTCATTCAACCTCTGGTCACCAGCTCTGGGAAGATGTCCTGCTTCCTCTTTCTCTGAGCTTCCGAGCTATAAGTGACCCACCACCTCGTCTTTGTCCTTCAGATGTTGCACATGTATTGTGTGGTCTCCACAAAGAAACCATAAGCTCCCTGAAGGCAGGGGTTGGGCTTTGTAGTTCTGTGTCTCTTCTCCCTTCGGCTCCGAGGCAGAACCAAGGAGCTGCTTCAGGCAGGTGGGCTGGGCCTGACTCCTCTGGATGGGAGTACCCAGGGTAGAAGCCGTGGGCCCAGGGGGTCGGCTAGGGCATCACCTGGCGAGGGGCAGCCGGATTAGACCCTGAGAGCACAGCATCAGTGGGCCGGGCTGAGTCAGCCTTGTGGGGAAGAAGGCAAATAACCCACCGTTCATGATTCCTCCAGCTTTCCACCTTCCTGCTTCTCCAAAGATCACGTGTCCTGTTAACCTCTACTTTTTGTCTCCATGTGACACGGACAGGTTCTCACGTTCCCATGGACCAGCCCTGCTGTCGTGGTCTCTATGATTTTGAGCCAGAGAACCAAGGAGAACTAGGATTTAAAGAAGGAGACATCATTACATTAACCAATCAAATAGATGAAAACTGGTACGAGGGAATGCTCCATGGGGAATCTGGCTTCTTCCCCATTAATTATGTTGAAGTGATTGTGCCTTTACCTCAGTAAATGTGTAACTCAGACTTTGGACCTACTTTCATAACTGAAATGAATTCACACCAGTGTTCCCTCCATGTGGTGTTCTGTGACATCCTTGCTCTTTGACCCACTTAATGACTTTTGTATGTATGTTCTCTTTATAATGTATTTTGTATCAGTTTAATTTGTATAAATGATTTTCTTGTCTTAGCTACACGAAAATATACTTTCCTTTCTCGCTTATTGTCCTAAAAGTCTTTGGTTCAATAAATGTACGTGCTTCTCGTTGCTAAGAATAAACCGCACCCAGTGCAGTTATGTTAATGAATTGCCTCTATTCCTCAGCTCCAACGGAATGCAAAATTTGAAACTTAAGAAATGCTAAATATTTTGTTTCCTGACGTTACTGATGTCATCTGGTCTTTCCTTTCCTTCTGTTTCAGCTGACCTGTGAATAGCCCAATAAACATGACACGCCATGTTGGCAAAAGGCCGTGGTTATTCTTAATGTTGAATTGACTTCCCAGCATGGTGGTCTGGCTGTAAACTCCCCCTGTGTCCCACGGCTGACGGGGGAAGGGGGGGCACAGTGTGGATGCGTGCATGCTTCTTCCAGACTAAGTCCATAGGTCTGAGAGGGGGCTTTCACTGTCCCCTTGATGCAAACACAGCATACGCTCCTTCCAAGTCAGGGAGAGCGGACTTTTCTGTGCACTGTCAAGTTTATTTATAAAAGAGCTTAACACAAGTTTCTGCTGCTGCCAAATACTGGGTAGGTTTTCTGAGCAGGTCCTGTTGGGATGCTCTGGAAGAAGCAGGAGTTGGGGCGAGCGCCAGTCACAAGATCGCGTAGTGCCAGAGAACCAGCCCCTGGCCTCGCCCCGGGTATGCACTCGCCCCGTGCTTTGATCCAGGGGGGCCCACAGCTGTCCTGTTGGGAGGGGGCGGGAATCCTTTCTCCTGCAGAGAAGGAGATGCGTTGGATGGCTTGCCCAGGATCAAATGACCAGTGGTGTGAGAGGCAGAGTTTGAACTCAGATTATTCACTGCACCCCACTACCCGCAGAAGTGCTCACCCAAGCCTCTTGGACGGACATTGCATCTCAGTGACATTAGTAACAAATGCCCAGAGGCCAGGTTGGTCTAAGGTGACCAAAACCAGATTTCCCAGTCTTCTGAGTCCTTGTTCCATCAGAAAATTCCCAACCTTCTACTAGATAGTTTTCCTCCTTTCTTTTCCTGTCAGTCCCCCTTGACCCCCCACCTTCTCTAAAACAGTTGTAAATATAGTGTCTGTAAGAAAATAATAGTAATGGCTAACATTTATTGAGTGCTTACTACGTGCCAGGTGCTGCTCTAAGCCTTTAAATGAATAAACTCACTTAATCCTCCTAACAATCCATTTTGCAGATAAAAGAACTGAGAGGCAGCAAGGCTAAGTAATCTGTCCATAGTCACCCAGTCATGAAATGCCAGAGCTGGTCTCCTAATCTAGGCTGTCTCCTTCCCTCCCCTGCACTCCTCACCCCTGCCCCACACCACCTCTCACACCCTGCATTTGCCCACACAAACTCGCAAAGGAGCTTTTCATCCAACTTTTCTTCTCCAGCCGCCGTATTTGAAATGTATCACAGAGAAGGAGAAGTCCAGAGCCATACTCAGTGCCTGTAATATGCTTTGGTATCTTGTTTGGGAGCTAGTGATTGCAGTCACCTGAGAGTTACAGACTGTGGGGAGTTTGTGAGGTTTCAGTAAATGGCTCCCCTCTTTCCCTTCTGAGGTCTAAACAACCTGGGGCATTAGTCACGGGTGAAAAGAGATGAGAGCCAATATGAAACTTGTGTGAAAGGCCGTGTCAGAATCTGTAGCTTAGGATGAGAGCAAAGCGCCTAATAACTGAGCCTCAAAGGCATCAGACACCCCTAGTCTGGAAAGAGGTGGACTGTCCTCCCCTCATACGGGGACAGAGCCTTTAACACTGAGCGTTACTGCCGAGCTGCCAGGATTCAAGAATGCACATTCCCGGGGTTCCTGGGGGACTCGGTTCCAGCATCCGACTTCAGCTGGGTCATGGTCTCATGGTTCATGGGTTCAAGTTCCCCCATCGGGCCCTGTGCTGACAGCTCGGAACCTGGAGCCTGCTTCTGATCCTGTGTCTCCCTCTCTCTCTATCCCTCCCCTGTTCATGCTCTGTCTCTGACTCTGTCTCTCTTTCTCAAAAATAAATAAACATAAAAAAAAAAAAAAGCACACTCCCTGCCTTCAGGCCAGTTTCCAGGGAAACGGGGCTATGATACCTGTGCCCTGTCGCTAACCCGAACTCAGCCACCTCCTCAACCAGCTACGGCTATGGCTATGCAGAGAAAATCTCTCCTCATAGAAACTGGGAGAATGGGGAAAAGGTATTGCTCTCTAACTGTGGGGACAGGAGACGAGGAGCATACCTCAGAGAAGACTCAAGTTAACCGGAGGCCCAGACACACCTATGTGAAAGGGAAAAGGGAGAATATGTAGAAGAAATATCCTTCGTAATGTCTTTAAAAATGAGTTTATATGTATGCAATAAGGCAAGGAAAAGAAAAAGAAGGTGGTCTAAATATTGAAAGGTAAGAAACACAACTGTCTTTATTTGCAGAAAACAAGATTGAACATGTGGGAAATTATTAGGGAATCTACAGAAAATAATCTGGAATACGTATATGTGCTAACAGATATACCAGTATACATGCTAATGTAATAACATACATATACTGCATACATATAAATTTGTCAAGATCCTGAGATCGTATACAACAACCAAGTATGTTTGTATACGCTGGAAACTAGGATTAAATGTTAAATTTAATATAGTAGTGAAAAGCAATGTCATTTGTAATAGCAGCAGAAAGTACAAAATACTTAGAAAATATTTGGACAAAAGATAAGCAAGACCTTGACCCTGAGAACTATACAGCTCTGCATATAAAAATTGAAGACCTAATAAGTAGAGAGAGATAATATTGTGAAAATGTTTGTCCTCCCCAAAGTGATCTATAAATTCAATGTGATTCTAATCAAAATCCCAACAGGCTTTTTGTTTAAATTGACTAGCTTCTGTCTTCTAGAATTCTATGGAAATGCAGTGAGCAAAACAGTGTGGAATTAGCACAGGTTTGGAGAAGTAGGTCAATGGAACAGAACAAAATGTCTAGAAATAGGCTCTTGTAGATATATGGTCAATGTATTCTCAACAAAGGTGTTGAGATAATTCAGTGGGGAAAGGAAATCTCTTTTCAACAAAGCGAAATAAACTCTGATCCTTATCTCACACTGTCCATTAAGATTAGTTTTAAATGGATCATAGACCTCACCATAAAAGCTAAGACCTTGATGCTTTTACAAGAACACACAGGAAAAGGTCTTCATATCCTTGAAGTGGGCATAATTTCTTAGGACACAGAAAGCACTAATCCCAAAAGACAAAATTGATAAATTAGACTTCATTAAAATTAAAAATTTCTGCTATCTAAGGATGCCATTAAAAAAATAATAGACAAACCGTAGATGAAAGTATCCACAGAACGTATCTGGAAGAAAATAATCACAATGTATATCTCTGACCACAGACTTATATGCAGAATATGTAAAGAACTCTCACAATTTGATAATAAACAAAAAGCCCAAAGATTTGAAGACCCACTTCACAAAACAAGGTATATAGGGGCGCCTGGGTGGCTTAGTCGGTTAAGCGTCCGACTTTCGCTTGGGTCATGATCTCGCGGTTCGTGGGTTCGAGCCCCGCGTCGGGCTCTGTGCTGACTGCCAGCTCAGAGCCTGGAGCCTGTTTCAGAGTCTGTGTCTCCCTCTCTCTCTGACCCTCCCCTGCTCACGCTGTCTCTTTCTCTCTCCTAGAAATAATAAATTAAAAACAAAATTAAAAACAAAAAAGCTATATAAATGCCCAATAAGTATATGAAAAGATGTCCAAATCATTGGTCACTGTCAGGGACTGGTCCTTGGGTGGTACCAAAGAGGCTTAGAATTATAGCCTACTAATGCCAGTGGCTAGGGCAGCCCCATTCCCAGAGACATTAGCAAGGTGAGGCCTAGGACTAAGATATTTACCACCAAATTCGTAGCAAATAGGTTCTAGCAGTCATTACTGAAAAATAAACAGTAGTTTAGAGCTCCATGCCCAGGAACACAGGCAATCAGCATGGACTGTTGTGTCCCAAGTCTTCTAAATATCTGCCCAAGGTGATACCATCCATGGACCTAAGAATGGAGCCACTGAAGATACGATGAGCAATAGAGTCCAGAATGTTCAAGACATTCCCGCTGAAGTCTACATCACTGGAGCAAGAGCAGAAACTGACTAGACATAGATTTTAAATACTAAGAAAAGTTGGGGTTCCTGGGGGACTCGGTTGGTTGAGCATCAGACTCTTGGTTTTGGCTCAGGTCATGATCTCACGGCTCGTGAGGTCAAGCCCCGTGTTGGGCTCCACGCTGAAGGTGCGGGGCCTGCTTGGGAGTCTCAATCTCTCTCTGCCCCTCCCCCATTCTCACTGTCTTTCTCTCTCTCTGAAAATAAATACACTTTTTTTAAAAAAGTCTTTGATTACCAGATTCCCAGGAGGAAATGAATATATTGCGTTTGGGTCCTGATGCTGAACACACGAGCTGCTGCTGACTCACCCCAGGCCCCTTGGTGGATCTGAAAATGTTATCAAGTCGCCCTCCCAGAAGCCGTGGTGCTTCCCCTGCATACGCATCAGCATCAGTGATGACAACCGTGGCCAACACCCCTTCTCCCTCTAAAAATGCAGGTGCACAGGGGGCCAGCTCCGCCTCTCCTGAGCTGATTTGCTGGGGCTGAGATGGACAGCTACTCCTGACCTTGTACTCTGTGTTTTACCTGCCGCAGTTTCTAAAAACCCAACATTCCCGTTAAATTCTGATTTTCGTTCCATACGTCCCGCCCCAGATCCCTTGCAGTCTAGTGCAGGTGCACTGCTAACCAGGTGAGTCACAGCCTGCAACACAGGCACTTGCATGACGTACCCACAATACTCTCTCGCTTCTAGGATTCTGTGGTTGTTTCAAAGAAATCAATCTAGGGAGGCTCTAAGGAAAATAATTCATGAGACAAAGTGGTTGCCACCGACCTGCCCTTGTAAAACTCACCCATCTGTGGCATGGGCAGATGCAGGTGTTCTGAGGTGAAGCCCGTTCCAGAAGGCAGGCTAGCGAGGCTCCCTGCTGGCCGCCTCCGTGCGTGCCTTGTGGGAGACTCAACATCACCTGATTCTTCACCGTGTCTGGCCTGCGACATTACAGGGATAGTGTGTGTGTGTGTGTATGTGCGCGTGTGATGGGGGGGTCTCCCTGTGTGGTACCCTCCTGGCTGCCTCTTGCCAGCCTCCTCCTCTGCCTTCCTCTGGGCAATGTAAACCAGAGGCCATGGTTTTAAAAAAATATTCAGTTTAATATGAATTAAACTGATGGGTT